CTTAAAACCTTGAGTGGGTAAAAACAAATGTTTTACAAAACCATTTCATTTATCAACATATCTAACCCCTCGCTATAAAACATGTATAATTTTCCCAGAATCAAGATATAAGCATATACATATATATATATATATATATATATATATATATATATTATATATATATCTAAAATCATAACAATTCAATTCATGCTTCACATAATCATATTCATATGTACGCCAGGCCAAAATATAACAAAGTAACCAATCCAGGTAAGAATGATTTCATAGAAATATGATATGTTAGCCGAAACCCCTGTGGTAGTCTGTACGACTGAATTCATAGCTCAAAAGTCAATCTAGTCGGAGTCACTACAATGACCTATACGGCAATATACTGCACATAAGTCGGAACCACTATTAAGGGGTCTATACGACAAGATTGGATGTAATATAATTATGCTCAATTCTATTCTCTCATAATAGTCGGGCGATAAATTGCTAGTCACCTACGAGTCGGAACCATAAATAAGGTATGTACAACAAGATTGTGCACTTAAGTTGGATCCAAAATGAGCATATAGTGCGGGAGGTGACGTAAATAAACAGGCACGTACTTCACATCTCTAGCTAAATCACAATCACCCTAGGTGCAGTTTTATGAGCTCAACATTATTCAATCACATATCATATCATGGATGATTCATATAACCAAACATAATTTACCTGAACTTACCTGTGCCTCCACAACACCACATTTATATATATATGCAACCATGAAATGCATATTCAGAATATAAAAGTATTTGTCATATTATTTCAAAGCATACTTTCTTAAAAATGCATTTCTGGGGAATATATCAAGTATATAAGTATATACTAAAAACAAAAGTTCACTCACTAGTATGTCGATGGGTCGTAACCCCCCAGTCGCCCGTGGATACGCTCGTCCTCGGGATAAGTCTCACCTATATGCGAATTAACTATAAAAACGTTATTTTAAGGCATATATACAAAACTAGCTAATTACTTCTCATACATTGCTCAATTTTTGTATTTGAATATACCAACGTGACCTACACAACCTTAAGAACATCGCGATATATTTAGAATAATTTTTCTGTGGCTCATGCGCCCTCACGCGCATCACCTTCAACCTCTAGACGCCAGAACAGCGTCGCCGGCGCCGGATTCTGGGCAGACCTCTAACTGCCTCTTTCTTGCTCGTTTCTGAACCATTTTTCATGAAATTTATACCAATAAAAATCTGGAGATGAGTAGAACAACGTTATACCTGTTTAAAGCTCCAAAAACCACAGAACCTCGCCGGAGAAATTCGAGGAAATCGGCCAACTTCGAAACTAGCTATCTCGACATCTAAATCTTTCCAACAAAGCACTCCGAGCCTCCTTAGAACCTCCTAAAACTTCCTATGGTCTTGAAATTCCATAAAAATCAACATTTTACGTGAGCATGAATAGTACCTCAAATCGAGGTTATGGTTTCGACGTGAAAACGATGGAGTTCTTACTTGGAATGTGTACCCCAAGACTCATATGGTCATGAACACAATGGTGGTCTTAAAATCCTCGATCCGTCACGATTCAAAGGGTTTTGGGTTTGAATCCATACGATTTCGAAGGAGAGAGAGAGTCTGAGAGATAGAGAGAGAACACGGGAGGGAAGAGAGAGAAGGTTATGGGTGTGTGTGTGTGGTCCAAAGTCACCAATCACAACTAATAATTTTCTTACTTCCAATTGGGTCCAAAATAATAGGGACTTAACACATTGGTCCTCAACCACACATAGCCCCACGATGTCACAAACGCTCAAGTGTAAATATGTCTTTTCATAACCACGATAATAAATTCTCAGGACGGGCTGTGACAAATATTAAATGAACATATATAATATTAACACTGTATCTGAAAAATGTACAACAAAATAACATTGTTTCTAGAACAACTGAACAAAAATTAAAACTGGTTATGGAAAAAAGAACCAAAACATAGAACTGTTTTTGGAAATCCTGAACCAAAGATAATACTGTTTCGGGAACAACTGAACAAAAACTAAAATTGTTTATGGAAAACCCTAACCAAAAGATAACACTATTTATGGAACAACTGAACAAAAACTATAACTGTTTATGAAAAAAACAACCACAACAAAAATTGTTTTTGGAAAATCGAAACCAAAATTAACACTATGTCTCGAACAATTGAACAAAAACTAAAACTGGAATATGGAAAAAGAACCAAAACATAAACTGTTTCTGGAAAACCGGAACAAAAAAATAACATTGTTTCTTAAACAACTGAACAAACCTAAAACTGTTTACAAAAAAAAAAAAAACGCAAACATAAAACTGTTTCTGGAAACCCGAACCAAAAGATAACAATGCTTCTGGAAAAAATGAACAAAAACAAAAACTGTTTATGGAAAAAAGAACAAAAAAAAACACTGTATCTAGAAAAACTAAACCAAAAGCTAACGCTATATCCTCGAAACGAGAAAAAACCTTCTGCAACTCATATACAATTATCAACAAAATAAATATGAAATTGAATAATATGCAGTTCTCAAATTTAATAAAGAAACACAACTTGAAGAACTTGCAAATCTCAAATTTATTTTCTGGAGAAATAAACGATGAATATCGCCGATGAAGAAAAATTGAAAAACAGTACCACGAATATGCTATGAATAATGACCCGCATTTAAAAAAAAAACAATACAAAACAATAAAATAAATAGCACCAAGATCTATATTTCTGTTTCAAATAAAAAGAAGAAGATTTGCAAAACAAAGATGAACTCCATTAAAGACGAAAATCTAGAAAAAATTACCTCGAATACAGTACGAATAATGACGGACGATATGAAAAGCAACGCTCACATTCAATTTGATCAGCACTTCAAATGTTGAAACGACTATCACGTTCAAATTGATAAGAACTCGAAATTATGGTTCTCAAATCCTTCAACCAACCCCAGCAAAAAAGAGCTTAACAAGAAAATTGAACTGAAGAAATAATAAAGCAACTCAACCTAAGGGTAAAATCCACAAATCATAATTTCTTACAGTTTGGCCACTTTTAGTTAGATTGCTTTAATATGGGTCTTGTACTAATTATTAAACAAAACTTATAACATGTTTTTTTATTAAAACTAAAATTTTTCAAACCATTTTCATTAGTTTTCCTTTTTATTAAATGGTAGGTGGAGAAATAAGATACTCGGGTGAGAATATCAACTTTCTTTGTTATTCTTTTGTGGCTTACTTTGTGAACTTTCAGCTAGTAGAAGACTGCCATCTCTATTAATCTAGTCATTTTCCTTCCTCTGATTCATTCTAACTTCCTCTGTAGCCAACATTGCAGATAATGTGGTTATGGTAAACTCCTTTTGACCATATGTCAAAGCAGTTACTACATGATCCCACAACTTCGGTAAATTATTCGTAAGTATCGAGACTTGTATTTCATCAGAAATAGGATGACCAACATCAGAAAGATCTCTTGCCATAATCTCCATCTTGGTAATACGATCCACCATGATATCATTCTCAGACATACGTGTCCCGTTGTACTTCTCAAGAAGTAATTGAATATAAGTTTGAGATTTGGGACCGTACTTGTCTTTAAGTATATCCATCATCTCCTTTGCAGTTTGTGTATCCCTCATACAGAGGAATCAAATCATCTTCCATATGGTTGAGAATTGTGGCACGAGCCATTTCATTATCCTTCTCCCACTTTGTAAAAGCACGAGAATCCTAGACGAGTGCCTCATCTTGAATTGTATACAGAGTTTTTTGGTGGGTAAGAAGATAAGTAACCCTTCTCTTCCGAATATGATGATTGATATTATTGAGCCTCTCAATTTTGATTGATTCAAACTACGAGCCATTTTACAAATTAAATGATACTAACAACCACAAATATTAAATTTAACAAACAATAAGGAAAGTAGATATAGAATAAGTACAGAAAGCAAATGTAAGTCAAGTAAAGAAAGCATTTTTGCATTTCGTCGTCGTCGGGATTTTTGTATGTAAGTTAAAGTACAGAAAGCAAATGTAACCTTTTGCAAGAGACGTGTTGACAACCTAAAGCTAATTTATCCTTTACATGTATAGTTTGCTTTCCCACCGCCAATGATCATTTCATGTTTGAGCTTAAACCCTGTATTTCAAAATAGCTTAAACCCTTAAAATGCAAACTGTTAGCTTATATAGGCCTTTTATGCAAAGGAATCCCCATTTTATATATATAGGCCCTTTATGCAAAGGGATCTTCATTTTTTCCAAAAAATGAGGACTAGGTGTGGGGTCCACTCCACATCGAACTTCAACAATTCAAACAAGTCTAGTTTGTAAGTCTCGATTCATAAATCATACTTGCAAAAAATTCAATTCAATCCAAAATCATTTGCCTACTTAATTATCAAGATAAAATTTCATTGTTTCTTATATAACAAAGTTTTCGTTAATTTTTTTTAACCCAATTAAATGTCTTAAATATTTCCGATTTGGCTAAGATTTTGTAAGGGTGATCTATGAGGTGCAACTTGAAAAATAGATGTTCGAATCGTTAAAATTCGATGTCGTGTGGACCCCACAACTAATTTCCATTTTTATGAAAAAAAGAGGATCCCTTCCTTTAAAGGCTTCCTATATATATCTATCCAAAAGTCATCAACTTGTCAAGTGAGTTATAAAACATACTACTAAATTCCGGCCTTCATAAGAATACCTGCCATTTATTCTTTGGTCTTTGACAAAAGTTGACGGTTCACCATAAAATCAATTGCCAAATATAGAAAGTAGCCCAACCTACCCTTCATCCATCAATGTGACAGTCTTCGCGAGGTGGAACATTAAATGGATCATGTGTTATCCATTTTATGTTAAAATTTTATTTGATTAGTAGGATATATTGTTTAATCTACCATATTGATCCTCTCACTGGAAGTTATAGAATTAAATGACAATATATATATATATATATATATATCTATATCCATCAAATAGTAATATATATAGGCACACTAAGCCGCGAGCTTAGAGTGACAACGAATGCTCGGTTTCCGGTTCTTTCAAGTTACATACTTACATGCCTCCTCATCAAATGGAGGATTGCTTAGTGATCCTAGATTTGAAGTGCAAAAAGACAGAGACATAAGAAGCTACAGAATGCTAGGAAAGTTTCGAATCTACTTCCGGAAGATGATCAAACTTCGGGAATGAAAGTTCATACCTTTCCGTTTTCAGTTTCAATGTTTCTAACAGGTCCTTTGAACCATTTCCTTGCATCCAACATCCACCAAAGCATTACTAGACCCAATCCCACACTCAAAGCAACAGGTGCATAATTGAATGTATTCCAAGTAATTGGGTAGAAAGTCGGGAGGAGGAAGACCGAACAGGTATAACAAATCCACAGGAAGGCAACCAAGCAAATTGGCCTTCTAGCTTTCCCCAAGTAAAATGGTCCAGCGTTGAAGTTCTTCTCAGGCATTACCAATCTTGCAAAGATTGGAACTGCATATCCTCCTACCCATCCAATTGTACATATCGAAGTTATGGCAGTGAAGACTACATTGACTTTCAAGATTGGAAGTCCGAGGAGAATGCAGATCGCTGCACAGAGCCACACTGCATTTGAAGGAACTTTGTGTTTCGGGTGCAATTTTTTCCATACAGACGAAAATGGAATACCTTGGTCTCGTGATAGAGCATATACCTGAAAATACCATTTGAATTTCAATACTACTATCGAAAAGAAGACAATTTAAGACGGTTAAGGATAGAGTATAATTCTAACTGCGTAATGGAGATAAAAGCAACTAATTCCCATTTTTTTGTCATACAATTTAGAAGCACATATTCAGTCTTTGTAGCCTAAAAGTTGCATTTTGGGATGTTCACAGATTATTCATACTGATTAAAACAGAAGATATTTGTTAAAAAGTTATTCTTTTCCCTCATGCTCAACCATTCAAATTCAAGCTATGAAGAGCCACACCAAAACCTTTACGAGCAAATGATCAGCAAATAGAAGACTATTCTATATGTAATCATGTGCTTTCGGATGAATATGTAAAATCTCAATACAGAAAAACAGACTAGAGATAAAAGAATCACCAACGCGCAAGGTAGTAAACAGCCTGAACCGTAAAAAATTGTTTTAGCAGTGCCCAGCAGATTGCTTTAGTAAATCTAATATCAAGCTTCTGAGCTCCGAAAGCGAACAAAACAATTATGGCATTTTAGGAGAAAAAAGGCAAGGGTATTTACCACTCTGGCAGCACTAGTGGTAATTGAAAGCCCACCGAAGAAGAATGAAGCCCAAATGATGCATAGTAAAATGATTGCTCCTGTGGAACTCTGATACCTCCCATGAAATGCATCATAGAGTATTTGAGCTGGCACAAATGTTCCAGCAGTCTCGTTGGTTGGATCATATAGGTAGCTAAAGTCCTGAGTGAAAAATTTGGAGTCTCAGCTCAGTGTCCATTTGTGAGTTGCTCGACAAGGATTAGACTAAAATTAGCCATTAGATATCGTACCTGAATGCTGAAAGTAAGAGCCAAGATGTATGCCCACCCAAACACTGATATGATAGCAATGCTAGATAGAATAGCAATAGGACCGTTCTTGTCTGCTCCCTTGGTTTCTTCAGTTAGATGTGCTGCAGCATCATATCCATATAATGAATACTGACTAACAAGAAAGGATAGAATCACTGCATAAGGTTTGCTTGATATCCCAGTCTGCTCAGAAGCCACTTCGAAATTTGTGAACACATATGATGCTGACTGTGTCGTCATTGCTACCAGGGGAAGTGTTATCACAATAACCAGCCCTCCAATGACCTGCCAACAAAAATTTGAAACCAATGTTTCATATCAGATAACGTTACTAATCAATTTCACAACAGACAAAACGAAAGTTTATCTGCAAATTTGAAAGAAAACGTATTGGAAATGATTCTTCATACTGCGCATATACACTTAATATTGAAAAAGGGATTCTGCATTACGATTAAATCATATTTTTGTTCTCCAACTGTGTATATCTTCTGACTGCTTTTTATACATGCGTTTTTATTCATAAAGGTATATGAAGAACAAGCAACTTCTGATGTTAATATAGTATCAATCACAGTATACAGTACAGTTATCATATATGCTAACTTCCCAAACAAAATGACAAAGAAGCACGCAAGTAACCGGAATATGATTTTACCTGCCACCATATCGAGATTATGTCAATAAAGGCAATTACTTCTAGCGCAAATGTGTTGAGAAACGCCCATATAACAGTGAGTCCAATGTACATGCATAAGAATAGCCATTTTGGCGCAAGATATCCTCCATCTTTATTTGTCCCAGTGGATAACAAAATGATACTTTGCAGCGTTTGCGATCCTGCATATGCCTTTCAAATCAAGTTAAAATTATTTAGCTCAAAATTAAACTGATACTTCACCAATTTCTTCTCTCAAAGTTCAAAGATTAGTACCTGAGTGCCTATGCCGGCAATGAGGCCTACCGTCTCAAGCCAAGCGCAGCACCATGAGGCAAATGGACCCCATTTGGGGCCGGCTAAATGGGCAGCCCAGAAGTAAAGAGAACCTGTAGTCTGTTTCAAGTTTCGACCAAGCAAAGAGGAAGTAAGTTGTCTGGGAATGAAAATTATCAGTAATTAAGAGGATATGCTAACAACTGCTCGAGTGCATGTATAATGTGTGTATATACATATAAAAAGGATTTGGAAATGGAAAAGTGACGAGGGCGGACAAACCGGGAAAGAGGAGCAGATCTCTGCCATGGCAACTCCTACAAAGCAAGTGAAAAATGAAACGACCACCCATCCCCACACAAGGCTTGCAGGACCTGCATATAAAAGGCTTGAGCCATACAAGGGAGTAATTCCGGTGAAAAGTGTCATTGTCGAGAATGAAATTGCCAGAGTTTTGAACAAAGTCTGCAATCCAATCAATTGATGAAGCTCGAGTTAATAAGAAGGATTCCATCAGAGATAATTAGATATGCAGCAGAAGCAAGCAACAGAAAAACATTTTATATATATATATATATGTATGTATGTATGTATGTATGTATAATTTATAGGCAGGTAGTGAACTGACCATCTCTCGTCTGAGTTCTTGCTTGTAACCAAGCTCGTTAAGGCGCCTTTCCCCTGAATCCATCTCTTGTATCCGTGACGCATCTACTTCGTTGTGCACCATGGATATGTATATTCAAGAATAATGGACTTGCTGGTTATTTAGCTCTAAAATCAAATAACAAAGCAGCTGCTTATATATATGCAACTAGGTTTTACTTTTCAACCCCTTTTATCTTTATGGTTGAATATTCATATATGACTGGGTTTTCAGTTTTCGGTTTTCACACTAGGAAGGAATAAATTAACAAGCTAGAGAGAGAGAGAGAGAGAGAGAGAGTGAGAGAGGTGATGATGCCTTGTTCCAGCAAAACTCAAAAGGAGTTGCCAGATTTGAACTTCGCTTATTAAACAAATAAAAATCCCTCCAAGTCAACATGTATGCCCACTAACGGCCAAATTTTGTATTTCCTGATGCTCCATTCCCCTGGAATCCCTACCTCGCTTTCACACGTAGGTGTTTGCTTTCTATGCTTTTCCCAAGTGTTTGGCTTTCTTTATCCTGGTATTTAGTCTGCACACGCACAGAGATATATAATACGTCGAGCTTTATTCTCTTAAGCATCAACAGACACTAATGAGCGGACGAGATTTAGCTAAATCTTATTAAATCTCAATCGCTTATTTGTGAAAAATAGAGAAATTTTTAGTTATAACGGGAACACGGATGATACACCACTTATTTTTATGCAACTGGTGGAAAATTTTAATTTTTAAGTTATTAACTTTTTAACACACATAACACATTATTTATACAGGAACACGTGATGTACCACATTGTGTGAGGTTGGATTGGAAATTTGGATGTGTGCTTTGGAATTCTCTATGTAGAATTGAAGAAAGTCAACACGCAAATTGCTGAGTGCATCACAGTATATTTATTAACACGCCAGATTTCATGCTTCACATTCATTTAAAAATAAATAAAAAATCCTTGACCCATATTTTTCTTTCATTTAAAAGATTTATCATCCAATTCCGATCTAATGAGATCTAATGACAATTCGACCATATCGGGTCTCCTTATATTATTATTATTTTTTTTAATACTGTTGATGCACAAAATCAGTAAGGACTTTGGTACAACAGAAAGTGTTAAGTTTGTGACCTTCGCTAGATTGCTCCGGTCACTAGTGTGGATAAGTATGTAAATGGATACGGACAGGGAAGCAAACACAAGATGTACGTGGTTCACCTAGATTGGCTACGTCCACGGAGTAGAGGAGTTCTCATTAATTGTGAAGGGTTTACACAAGTACACAGGTTCAAGCTCTCTTTAGTGAGTACAAGTGCATGATTTAATACAAATGACATTAGGAAATATTGTGAGAGAATGATCTCTATTTATATAAGAGAGTTTCTAGTTTCATTCTGACATTGACACGTGTTGTGTTGTGATTGGCTTCTGATGTTGACATGTGTCGCGCTGTGATTGGCCTCCTGGTTGGAGGGAAACTCTTCTGGGTCCTTGACGGTATAACGTTGACCGGTGCTCAGTAGTTTCAGGATTGGTCAAGTATGGTACAAACAAATACAACTATATATTTTACACTAAAAAGAGAGAGAAGTTCGGCTAAGCTGCAAAATGGACAACCGAATTTGGTATCGAATTTGCTATCTACCAGATTTGAACCTAAACCTCTCTTTTATAAGTAAAGAAGAATATCACAAGACCGTAGTACTAAGTGGATAAAAAGATTTTAATCTCTTCTTAACAAATGCATAGTAATTCAAGGTTATACCCAACAAAAATCCCTTAACTTAAGAGTCACTCCACCACTAGTCATCCATTCACTGCACCTCAGCACCGCCCCATTACTCTTTGTTTTTTTTTTTTTCATCGATATTTTTACACTAGGAGGAGGGAGAGTTCGACTAAGCCACATAATGGACAGCTTAATTTGGTATCAAATTCATCATCCAAGAGATTTGAACATAAAATCTCTCACTTCTAAGCAAAGAGACCACCAGAGCACCGCCCCATTACTTGGCGCCCCAAGTTCTATTTTGTGTGGGTGAGGACTTGCAAAAAGAGGATGGGGAGAACTTACTGAATTTGTGAGAGGAATCGACAAGGGAGGATGCGTGATAAAAACAAGCACACCTTTTCTATTTCTACGTATTGTACCGTGCTGTTGTATCCGGTAACGACATTGAGATAGTTGAAGGCGACGTCGCAGATTTGCGACGGATCTCGGTCGTCTTGTGGTTCCTTGTTCAATGCCTTGGAAATCAGACATACAGGTACCATATTACTTTCATTCAATGTAGTTCCAAAATACCATTTTGCTCTTTTTCAGAGTACGTTGACAAGACAAGTATTTACTTGAGCCAAAGGGCAAAAATAGTAAAGCGCGCAGTCATGGCGGAACAAAGTGGAGTGATAATTATGTCAAAGGTGCTACATCAAAGGAATGAAGAACTTGCTCTAGCATTGTTCTTGTATGGGAGTCGAGAGGACTCTCTGGTTTATCTGAGTAAGTAATATTTACGAGGTAGAGCTTCTTTGAGGCCACAAATGCAGCTGAAAATATCCTCTTCATCCCTCCTCTTGTACTATCGACTTCATACTCAAACTCGTATACTTGAAGGCTACCCTGGCCTGGTCTCTCTGCATATCCAATAACCACAACATCTTTTGTACTTTCCTGTATGAACACAGAGAAGATGTGCTTAAGCAGACTGTTTCAATACTTCAAAGACAAGAAACATGAGACGCAAAAAATAAATATAAACATAACATTAAAGAGAGAAGAGAAGCCACTGTAAGTTCAATCCAGGATCATTCAGCCATACTTGTATTTTTGATCAAAACGGCCATCATTATGTTCAAACCCTCAAATTCTAATTATCCTTTTGGTCTTTATAGATCCAAAGGGGCGTATCCAACCCAAGTAACAACGAACAGCTCATGTACCTTAATCATGCAGTTCAAATTCAGAGTGGAACAATTAAAACTTCAGCCATCAGTTACGGTCCTGTCCTGAATTTATCTACTTTTGATATAAAAAAAACACCGAAACTTTCTTTTTTTTTTGTTTTAAAAAAAAGGGGTATAAATCAACATATCCACTGTTCTTGTTCTTATGCCAACAAAGACAAAAATAGTGCTTACTGGAAATGAAAAAGCCTACTTTAGGCGCCTCAGACTCTGAGTGGACACAATTCCGTGTCAAACGTGCATCCCTAAACACTTATCCTTCACACAGTCAAATAATTTCTTATCCTAACCCTATTCGAGGATGCAAGAACGAAATGCAAAGGGTCACATAGGCATAATCTCCATTCCTCAACAAAATGCGGACGCCCAGTTAAAAAAATCGCTGGTATGTTCTGTTCAATCATATTATAGCAGGCATTAATTCATTTGGGTTTCCGAAATGCAGTTTTTGTTTTAGCATTTAATCATATCAACACAGAATCACGCAATTTAATGGGTTTTGTTTTTGCTTTTCTCAAATCTAAAATCAGATAATGATCCGTGCAAGGTGGGAATCAAACATCATCCACCATCAACTTCAGACATAAAAGACAATAGTAGGCAGCATAATTTGACATTACAGGGAAGCAAAAATACTGACCTTGCGCCTTTCGGCTTGTATAAGCTTATCAGCAACAAATTGAGGACTGCCGAACTCTCCAAGTGTGGTAAGGCGAACCGGATTGACGACAACGCCAACATTATTGCTCCCATTGTTTGGCTCTTCAAACAGAACAGTTGCCCCCGCTTTATCAACCTGACACCATCCATAAGTTACCATCGTCAATGTCATTTCACAGAACAAAATGCACTTCTATTCATACATGTGTGTGTAATATATATATATATATATATATATATATATATATATATATATATATGCGTACATAAGGTGGAAGCTTTACCTTTAACCAAGAGGATGGGCGGAGGAGGGTGAAACCCTGGTCGGAATCGGTGTACCTCTGAAGCTCCAATTGCTGAGCAGGAATGGCGTTTTGGAGGTTGGGCAAACACCCATTTAAGAAAATGGCAACAACAGAGAGGCCGAGGCTTCTCCTGCTCAAATAATTTGGAGGATGAGATTCAGCGCGTCTTTGAAGAAGCAAACAAGCTGCTCTGGGCATTGGTTTTTTCGAGGAGGAGGAGGGTTTGGGAGAAGAAGAACAAGAAGAAGAAGGAGAAGAGAAGAATGGAGGAATTGGGTGGTGGTGGTTTGAGAGGGCAGAGCAATCGCAAATGTGCAAAGCCATCACTAGTCAACTCACTAACGGTAGGATGCCAATCAACCAACCAAAACCAACTACTGCACTATACTAACGGTGGATGCCAATCAACCAAAACCAACACAGTGCATTACAGTACCGAGGGAATAATCCAATATTAAAACCTAAATTTTTTGAGAAATTAATAAAAAGTCCTTAGAAACTTTCATTTAACCTTTAGGACAAAAGTTTTCAAAAATAATTATACCATTCTTCAACGTATTTAGACAGCTTGGTCCCTTATAAAATCAGAAACAAAAGATATCAGACATATATAAATGTTATACAAAAGTGGTTGTAGCAAGTAGACAAGCATGCACAAAAAATTACATGGTCTTTATTAAAGCAAATGCAAAAGAAGAAAAGAAGACAAAACCAAGGCAGCCACAAAAAAAAAAAAAAAAAAAGGGGGCAAACTTTGACAAACTTTAGAAACAGTGTAAAAAAGTTAAAGATATTTTACACCATTCCATCTGTGAAGTTTTTTCTTTCGTAATCTAGCACTCCCATATAGGTATAAAAATGGAGTTTCGTTCACTATAAACAACACATAAACACTTAAACTCCAACACCTACACAAGACTACCACACCTCAATCTGCAAACACTCAAGCATAGAGCATCTGAAGCCTTCCTAGCATCCTTTGTAAACTTTTCTTGGAAACACTTTGTAATTATCTTCTGTATATCACTTAAAGTTTAAGTGTACACATTCAAGCAATCTCTAAGTCTTAAGTAATTTTTTTTTCTTTCTTTTAGTGTGTTCTTTTAATTAGACTTCTAATCCAAAACAAGAAAACATAATTGGACTATATTATTGACCTACTAAACTGACGATCAGGCTTTGTTCGAGCACTCAATTATAGTTGAATGATTGCCATACAAATAACTGGATATTAACCAAGATACCTCTAAGTTCTTCGTACCTTTGAGTTCAGCCTCTAAAGCCTTATAAGTACGTTATTGTCCTTGTAGACCTTGTCAACCACAACCACTAGGTATC